TGTGTTTTAGGTTCCCCTCATATGAGCATCTGAAGGCGTTTTGGAACTTGATCGAGGCAGCAACAGCCAAAATGGTCAGGGTCACCAGAGCAAAGAAAACCGACGTCATGAGTACAACAACTGAAACCCCTTTTACCAGACCAACTGTAAGTTACACACACACACACACACACACACAATGAGAATGCTGGTTTTGAACTAACATTTAAATAATTTTCTGTCCAGAAACTGCTGCCAATAGATGAGCTTTTTCTTTTCCTCTCCTACCTGTCTACTGGATGTACCCAGAGGGAACTGGGCCATCGATTTAACATCCACAGAGCAACAGTCAGCCGCATTATTGTGACATGGGCCAACTTCCTGTACTGCTTATTGGGCTCAATTTGTGTGTGGATGTCTCCTGCAGCTGTGAGTTCCAGTCTTCCACAGGATTTTGATGGCCGCTACAGTGACACACAAGTTATCCTGGACTGTACAGAACTACGGTGTCAAACACCTTCATCCCAAAATGGACCTTTGGTCAGGAAATGGAGATATGAAGTTTGACAGAAAAGCTGATGGCACAGTCTTGAAGAAACAGAAAATGCTGTCATTTACTTACATTGACATTGTCTTACATTTGTAAATAGATATTCATGATGGAAATATTTTGAAACAAATTTGTACATTTGATTTGATCAAACTCCTAATTTAGACATTTCTGCAGGTAAACATAGAAAAAATATCTGTCTACTTTGTGTTTGATTGAATCCATCACATTAGTGTCTGCATAAATTCTTTGAATAAGAATATCTTCCTCAGCTGAGACAACAAAATCACACCAGTTCATCCCAGTTATTAGCATCTGCCCCTGAACCTGCCAATAGTAAGCATGAGTTTTTTTTTGTTCCAATTTGCCTGACTTCATTTGGAGATATGGACAGTCAACATAACTTTTCACATTTGGACACTTAATCTCAATCAGCCCGAACTGACATGGCTCAGAAGGATCAAAGATCAATCCGTCTGGAGATGCCCCTAGCCAAGGAGCATCAGGGTGAATCACAAATCCACAGGGATAGTGGTTGACTCTTTTAATTTGACAATATTCCCAGATAGCATCTGCCTCTAATTCAAGCCCTCTCTTCATAGCTGCAGTCTGATAGGTCCCTTGCAGCAGACGATTTGCCAGATCTTCCTCAGATTTATCTCGAACCTGGCAGATCTCCCTGAAGCGGGAGGCAGTCAACCTATGCCTCCTTAGCTGATGCCATTCAGGACATGTACTCTGTGCTCTGGTAG